AGTTGCTATAGTCATGAAATGTTATCTTCAAAATACTTTGACAAATGTAACATTATAAATAGAAAAGTAGAAGAAAAACAGCTTCTGCTGTTCACTTGTAGTACAGTTTTTAAAACCTGTGTAGCAGATCCAATGAAACACAATGGGCAAACTATATATAGTATGTTCATACAAATTAGAGGATCTTTGGCCAATATAAGCATTAGAAATTGAAACAGACTGAGAAGAAGAATCATTGGCCTAAACAATTCCATTCCTACTATTACCTACAAAAATTTCCAGCTATAGTTGCTTCTTATGATCCAGGATTAGCAGTAATGTATTGTATTTTTCTTCAGGGTTTTGGCAGAAAAATCCAAAATATCTCTGTTTTTATTAGAGTTAAAAAGAATTGCTCCAGTAGAATTACTCAGAACTGACCAGAGTACTGCATTGGAAGTTTCAATCTAGTCTGCAATATTCTAGTTGGGTTTTATTACAAAAACAAATTTAAGACAATAAAATATCAACTCCTAATAATAGAGGTCTGGTTAGGCCTCTTCTTTCATTCACCATCAAATATCACTGACCATAAATATAGGTAGGAAAGGGGAAAACTCTGTAAATTGATCATCCTTTATATTGAACAAAGGATTCTAGACTAGTATTTCAATAGACAAGAGTGGCCTCAAAGGAATTTAGATAAGCATCCCTGTGCATTAGAAAATCAAAACTGCATTGTTGTACTTGGTCCAATCCCTGCACCATTGTTATCCCTGATAAGAAAAGCATATTTATCTCAATTTGCACCTCTGCATAGAAATTTGTTTACATGAAGTATATTCAGATGTTTGTCACATGAGCTGAATGACAGTCTTCTTTAGTATCTAACATATCCCCTGTGTTCATTTAACATACAGTATCCCATATATGATGCTGTTGCCACAACTGCTATGATTTATCCCAGAACAGCTACAGGATGGGATGAGGCTGAGATTCTAAATTATAGGTTTTCCAAGCAGAAGTAGTAGAAATGTCATATTAAGTTTTAATTTTCTTAGTAATCCCTGGTTTTATTGCATGAAACCATGAATGCATGAGTGGGACCATACATATGAGTTCCGCTAAATTATTTCAAGACTTGTTGGCTCTGTCTCTGACATCACTGAGTGTGAAGATTTGGAGAGAAATGTTGGAAGCATGCTTGGCTCATTAAAGTTCCTAATAATTTAGGAGGATTCTAAATGTGCTTGGTTGAAAATGTTTAACAACCCTTTGGGGCCTGCTTGTTCAATGTGAGACAGTTCAGAATAGGGGCAGCATCTGCAAAGACAATGAAGGAGGGCTTCAAGTACAATTCAGTTCCTCCTACTTGAGTTCAGGCAGTAATTCCTCAAAAGAGCTAGTGTGAAATCAATTAGCTAACAATGTGGCCTAAAGATGAAACTATTAGTTTAGGATAATTTAAATCCTCTGTCTTGTTGCATGTAGCATTTCCTCTCCCATTAATTTATGTGCCATTCAAACATTGACTCTGCCAAGATGCCTGTGTGAGGGAAGAATAAAGCCACTGTGCTAATAATGGGACCAATTAAGAAATTAAGTCATAATTAGAGGAGTTCTAGTGAGGAATCTGAGGGTAGTATGGGGTGGATGATGGGTTAAACCATAAACTACTAGGCTCTCCTTGAACAGAATAAACCATTGACAGAAGCATGACACTGAAACTATTTGTAAAGATTATAAAGAGTCCCAGTTGAAAATAACTCATCTTGTGATAGATACAAGAAATTCCCCCCTCCAAACAAAAACAAATGAAAAAAGTGGACTTTCAGAAAGATGAAATTATTTTCTAATTACAGAAGCAGAGAAAATATAACTAAAACAAAAATTATGAATATGACAAGGAGGTTGAGAGCTGTTGAGATGACAAACCAGTGCTATCCATGGCAAGCTGCCAACAGATGTTATTCTCATTGAATATTGATGAAATAATTGTTACAAAAAACACCAGTTGTACAATTACATATTTAGAGACATAACATCTTGGTGCAACCCGAGAATATGACACCTGGGACTGAAGACTGATTAAGATAGTAGTTTATGCCCTATATTGTTGATGAAAAGGAACATAGAAGTGTTAGCAGAGACAATCATAATAATGAGGGTTAAAAGGTTCCTGACATGGGAAAAGTGAGATTGATAATGAATGAAGAGTGACAGAAATGCATTAATTTTTAATAGCTGTTGAGATGTGACATAAATGAGGCAGCATAATATCAAGAACATCATTTTTAAAAGCCATCCATTTGCTTATTAAAGGAGGATGTGCAATTTGTGTATGCCAATGGCAAACGTATCCTCTGAACAATTGTGTAGCCAGAAATACACCATCTTCATGGAAAAATGAATTGAGTATCTTGGGAAATATCATGACTTGCTGGTTGAAATGCTAAATAGAAATATTGGACATTGCAACATTTTGCACAGTTGTTGCTATAATGGAAAATCATGTTTGTATGGGGTAGTTGTGTGCTTCTGTTGATATGGTGTATGATATCATGATGATAACTAGCTGAATTTTTCTGCCTTAGATTAACTGGGTGAGTCGTTCCCAATCAAGGTTTTGTCCCAGAGCTTAGAGAGTATGGATGGGGAAGAATAGCCTTTGGATCAATTGTGGCAAGACCAAAGGACTGTGGGCTCTAATGCCAACCAGATCCATAGGTTTTCCACCTTGAACTTTACCATGGCTCCTGCTTAAAGACCAAGTGGCAACCATGGTTATGAAGATCTTTACACAGTTTATCTTGCATACTAATTGTGCCCATTGCTGGATGGGAGGTCTTGCTCTCTCACATCTTAGTTGCCTCCCATGAGTATTATTAGTTCAGAACACAGCAATATAGACAGGTTTGGCATGTCCTGTAATACCAATACTAGCCACAGTAACTTCCAGTGGGTTTCTGGGCTGTCCTAAAGTGCTGGCTATCACCAATAAAGTCTTAAATGACATAGGGACAGAAAATATTCTTACTGTTTTTTTTACATAGACAATGATAGAATTGCAGCTATGTAAAACCATAAAAAAAGCCCTGGACTAGACTGAATATAGCATTTAGTGTCACACAATATCAAACCTGAGGTAGTGACAGAGGTCACAAACATGGATGGTAACATCCATTTATTATTGTTCCCTTGTGTTTAAAGTATGCCTCCTATAATCATTTATTATCATCAAGACTTCTAGTCATTGATACATGATTCTCCATGTTTTTATTCAGATCCTTTTAAAACATCTGTATTAATATTTATCATCACAGTTGTTGCTACAGTTTAAGACAAGAAACTGTATCAAAGTATAGAAAAATTGCAGCACAAAAAACTTTTCTTTTTCATTCTTGAACAAAGATTCCGGTGTATCTAAATGGCAAAATAAATATATCTACAATATTAAATCTAATTTAAACAATTAAGATTTATTTCAGTTTATAAAACATATAAATAATACATAAATACCTTATAATGCCTAAAATAATTACTCCAAAAATCTTGTAGCATACAGACAACATGGCTATTCTCCTACACAGAAAGAATTATTATAATTCTAAAACATGGCGATTCTCCTACATGGAAAGAATTATTATAATTCTTACCACTTACTATTCCTTAAGTGAAAGTTACATAATTAAATCTAAATATGCAAAAAAATGCGCAAGTAACCTCAGTTATTTAAATATATTATTACTTTTATTAATAATTTTAAATAGTAAATATTTTAATGATACAACATGATTATAATGCTTTAAAGAAGGAATTGCTATGTTTAATGGGACTAGACTATTCACTGCAATTATTTGGGCTATATTTTGATAGACATAATTTATACAAAAACATTGTTCTCTCTTTCTATTCCACATCACTTCTCCCAAATCCATGACATTATCATAGGGAAAACATGGACCACTTTCAAACACTGTTATTTGTGTTAGTAAGACAAATTTAAAACGCTTTCTTCTATGTTAGTGGATGACTAAAACCAAAACCAAACAAAAACACAGTATTTGCATTGAAAGTATAGCAATTAAAATTTCCACTGCAGCATTTGGACTAATTTGAAATGCAAACAATTTACTTAAAGCATTTATTAAATTAAAAACAAATCCCACTGAACAAAGAGAAATGAAAATTGGACAAGAATTGTTACAGTAAAAGGATTGCTTTAATTAAATATTATTTAAATGCAACCATACTTAAAATTAAGAACTTGCTGTCCTAGATTTCTAACCCTAGAAAGCAACAATTTTTTAAAGTTCAAACTGATTCACATTTAAAAAAAGAAAGAAAAAAGAGGGACCATATTTTTCAAAGGAAGAACAGAATAAACAAACAAACAGACCAGCCAATGGAAGAATAATGGAAGAACTATCTTACAGTAAACTTTAAACATTTTAAATAGTGACAATAGTTTTGGGTCCTCTACATACTTGTCCCACAACATTCAAATTTATAAAGTTAATAGCAATGCTATTGAACCATATATTTCAAAGTTCTTAAATCAAAATGGTCTTATTGGTAGCTTTTATATTAAACTTTAAACCATATTTTTTAACTTTAACTTTTTAAACTTTAAACCATCAAAGATCTAAGAATACATTTTCTTCGGCTTATGGAAAACACAAACAGGAGAAAGTTGATGTTTCTCACTGTGAATATATCTAACCTCTTCTTGTGATCATAATGTGAAACTAACTAATGGCTAGTTTTAATAAATGAAGTTTATAATGCATGTCTGATCAACTTAAAAATCAAATTATAGCCGATGCATGCATGGGATGCTGCAGTTAAGTAAATTGGAGAGCAAAAGCCTCTGCTGAAGAGAATAGGATTGAGTCTTGGAAGAAGTAAGGTTTGTTCACATTGAGTTCAACCATGGTTTATGTTGCTATATAGCAAATGGCACAGACAACCCAGCTTTGGTGAACTTTCTAAGTGCATATAAGCAAAATTAATAGCCATACCTTTTGTGTAGCTTTTATCACCTGATCCTTGGCATCCATCTTCATCATCACAGTCTCCACTGGATTCTGTCTCTTTGCTCATTCCATTCCCACTGCTGCCTTCCCTGTCAATCCAACTTTCGGATTGTAGACTTGTTGTGTGGGCTGCCAGCTACAATGCAAAATATTGACAAAAGTATTCAGATTTCTAGGGGAAAAAATGTAATACTGTTTTTTAAATTATTGTTCAGTTTTCCCAATGAAGTCAGAATTGGTAGTTTAATATAAATTCATTAAAAGCAATATGAACTACTAAATGGAAGAGCATTACTGATGAGTTTATTATTAAAACTCAAGGCATTTTATTAGACATACTTCTATATGCAGTCTCACCTTCTAACATCAGTCTTTTGAGCATTTTGGTTCTTTTACAGCTACCATATAAAATTTTATTTTCAATGCTATTGGTTTTAGAACATATCAATTGGCTATCAACTGCCATATTTCCTATCTTTAGCTTTTACAAGTTTTTCATTCACATTGGATTTATATTACCTCCAGTAGCTGAGGTTCTCTATACCTCTTAATAATACTTGCTGGGAAATACAAATTGGAAATTGCTATTGTGTTCAGGTCTTGAGGGTGGTAGTCCCTTTACAAGAGTTACTAGACTTCTGGCAATGCATATTCAATTGTGACTTCATGTCTTCTGTCAGCAGGCATGGCCTTTAAATCAAATATTGTCTGACTTTTTATCTAACAAGCTTCTTTCTTCCAGAATAGCTTTCTCCTGGTATGGTGCTTTCCCAATAAGAGTTAACTACAAATTTGTAAGCTCTGCTCTGTGACCTTAATTAGTTGATTAGTGTTCTCCCACCAGCTTGCACTGCTGCCCGAAATTGACGCAATCCTTGTCAGTTACACACTTTAGTCTCCTAAATGGTTTTCGCATATTCCTACCATTGAGGAATCAGTCTATCCTGCTGGAAAAAGAACTGTCATATACATGTACATTTTTTCAGTTTTTTACTGTAATTTACTTTAACACCATAAAGCTAAATAGTTAACGTGACCTCCTTTCTCCCTTTTCCAATTGTTCATATCTTTTGCCTATCCAGTTATCTACTAACCATACTCTTAAGTATCTAGTTGGTAATATGAAAGCATTGCTTCTGTTTTATCAATTGCTGCATTAAAAATACTATTTTTTCGCATTTTCTTGTCCACTGTCTTAAAAAAAGATTCTTGCTACTAACCTCCAGAGTCGAATTTCCTGTTTTTAACAAGTCAACTAACATACCCCACCATCCATATAAGAATCTCTCTGAAGGTTGGTACAGTGATGGCCTCTAACAGAAGTGAATAATGAATTTCTGTTTGAACAGCAGAGATATTTGGCATGATTTGAGACAGCCGGAATCTGTTGTATACATTTGCATTTTGCATCATTCAATGAATCATTACTGTCTTTTATGGAAGGTAACAAAAGCATTCATCATCAACAAATGTCCCTTTCTCTTGGGGAAAAATTGAATGGTTATTCATCTCTATTTTTAAAAAAAGTTCACCCAGTGTCACACTTTTTACAGATTATTTCATTTATGGGTGTCAGAAGCATGATTTGTGCTAATAAAACAATATCCAATAGTTAATTTTATTTTTAAACAAGTAGTTTGATGTTCTCATAGCTGCCATTCATTGTTTAAAAGCCTGATGTCATGCAGACAGGGCTGAAAAAAAACTGCTTTTGGTAACATTCTGTACAAGATGAATACATGCTTAGTTGTCTCTCAGATTTCTGATGTCTTTTGAAGATCATGGAGTCAGAATGAATTGCAGAAGTTTTTTTTTCATTTTTTCCATTGCAATTTTTTACTTTATGTATTAGTACTTAACAAGCCAAGCAAGCTGTGCAGGAATTAATCTGCTATTGCAAAAACTCCATATGATGATTACCCTGGCTGGATCCACAGCTCTAAAGATAGATGTAAAGATAGGCATAGAATTCTACATGGTATCTTGCAGTGAATCTTCTTTTACTATACACACTATTAAACATGGTTTATGACCTTTTGTTCTAAAACAAATCACAGAATTACTAAACAGAAGCTTGTAACATTAGTTTCTAAAGGTTAGAGTCTCATCCACTAAAAATAAAAATATATTCTAATGCAATATCCCTCAGCAGGTTTAACCACAAGATACTAGATAATGTTTTCATAAAAAAATTTATTGTTTTCAAGGAAAAAGTGTGGTCCTACATAATAGTAGCAAAACGATAAAAAAGAATATTACTCAAATGCTGTAATTTCTACGTGGAACTTCAAAATGTGGAGCTAATTTTGAACTAATCACTTCATTTCAAAAAAGAGAATTTGATATGATGATAATAATATGATATAATAATATATGATATATATAATGTATGTGTGTGTGTACGTATGTATATTTATTTATTTATTTATTTATTTTGATTTGTCAATTGCTTACAAGATAATAGGTATAAGTAAAAACATAGTTATCAGTACATGGACATATATATAAGAAAAATAAAAGAAACAATAGGACAGGGATGGCAGGCATGTTGGTGTGCTTATGCACACCCCCTACAGACTTCTTAGGAAAGGGGTGAGGTCAATAGTAGACAGTTAAATAGTAGACAGGTTAAAGTTTTTGGGGTTTGGGGAAGAAACCACAGAGTCAGATAGAGTATTCCAGACATTGACCACTCTATTGCTCAAGTCGTATTTCCTGCAATCAAGTTTGGTGTGGTTAACCTTGAGTTTGTATCTATTGTGTGCTCTTGTGTTGTTATGGTTGAAGCTGAAGTATTCATTGACAGGTAAGTCATTGCAATGTATGATTTTATGTACCATACTTAAATCAGACCGAAGACGGCGTAATTCAAGGTTTTCTAGGTCTAGAATTTCAAGTCTGGTGGCATAAGGTATTCTACAACGAGTAGAGGAGTGGAGAACTCTTCTTGTGAAATATTTTTGGACTTTCTCAACTGTGTTAATATCAGATACATAATGTGGGTTCCAGACTGATGAGCTGTATTCGAGTATTGGTCTAGCAAATGTTTTGTATGCTCTAGTTATTAGTGTGATAGGACCAGAGAAAAAGCTACCTAGGATTACAACTCTTAATGCCTTTTTGGCTATGTAGTTACAGCAGGCTCTAGCACTTAGATAATTAGAAATGAGTATTCCAAGGTCCTTTATAGAGCTTGGATCATCAACAAGGTCTTGACTATTCAGCCTGTATTTTATTTTTTGATTTTTTTTGTCAATATGTAAGACCGAGCATTTATTTGTTGAGATTTGAAGTTGCCCTTTGTTTGACCATTCTGATACATAGTCAAGATCTTTTTGAAGGGTAGCAGTATTGTCTGTAGTATTGAACAGCTTTACATCATCAGCCAAAGAAACACATTTGCTCTTAATATGATCACAGAGGTCATTTATGTAGAATATGAAGAGGGTTGGTCCTAGAACACTGCCTTGGGGGACACCACTATTGACAGGTACAGAATTTGATAGGACACCCCCCAATTTTGACCATTTGTTGTCTGTTTGACAGGAATGCTTCTATCCAGTTATGCAGGTGTCCAGAGATACCATAAGATTTTAGTTTTAGGAGTAGTTTGTCGTGTACCACTGAATCAAAGGCTTTACAGAAGTCTATGTAGATTGTGTCTATTGTTTTGCCCTGATTGAGTTGTGTAGTCCATATGTTTTTGAAGTGTAAGAGTTGCAGAAAGTTTTTTTCTGAAACCAAATTGTTTATTAGAGAGTAGGTTGTTTGTCTCTAAGTGGAGGATAATGGATTGGTTAATAATTGATTCCACTTTACAGGTGATGTAGCATAAGGAGATTGGTCTGTAATTTCCAGTTAGGCTGGGGTCTCCTTTTTTGAAGATGAGGATGACCGTGGCTTGTGACCATAGTTTTGGCAAGGAGCTGGTCCTGAAAGATTTTTCAAAGATTATGCTTAGAGGTTCTGCTATGGCAGTGGATAGCTTTTTTAAGAAGTAGGCACATATTCCGTCCGGTCAAATAGATAGAGATGGTTTTAGATTGTGTAGTGCTTTTTCAACATTGTCTTCTGTAAAATCTATATATATTAGATCATTGTAGTTTTCTGTGGTTAGGAAATACTGGGCATGATCCATTGCTGTTTACAAATACTGAGCCAAAGAATGCATTAAAGAGGTTGGCTTTAATGGTGTCGTCATTGCAGTCTTTACCATTAGGTCCTATCAGGGGTGGGATGGACCTTGAGTATTTCAGTTTGTTGTTTACAAAATTGTAAAAAGCGCGGGTGGAATTGGTGCATAGAAGGTTTTCCTCTTGTTTAATGTGATAATTGGTGCATTCAGTCTTTATCTGGTGGCATAAATTTTTGTATCAGCTTTTGAAGTTGGCAACATGACCAGATTTGTTTTTCCGCCAGAGTGATCTCTTTTTGGATTGAAGTTGTTATGGGTAATTTCTTTTTTTCTGGTTTTGGGAGTTGTTATTGGTACATATAGTTTGATGACTCTTTTTACTTCAATGGTCTTCGACAGTATTGCATCCAGTGAATAGAGATTGCCAATCAAGGGATGAGATATCGTTGTCTATAAGATCATAGTTGCCTTTTTTGAATTTACAATTGGGAATTCTGTCATTGTGATGATTTTTGTGTGGGCGTTATGTTGAGACAAAAGTCAATCATATCGTGGGCACTGTTGGAAAAGGGTTCTTTAGTTTGTATTCTGTAAATTAAATTCAAACTATTGCAGAAGATGAGATCGAGGCAGTTGTTAAGTCTAGTATTGTTGGTTACTAGTTGTTCCAGTCCCAGATTTGTAACAGCATTGTAGAAGGTTGCATGTATGGGTTCATATATGTATGTATATATGTATGTATATGTATGTATATAGAATAAAATAGAATATCCTTTCTGCTTTTGGGGGAGAAGGCATGAATATGAATTATTCTGGGGCGTGCATGTGACTTCCTCCACAACTATGTCCCAGGAATACAGGCTTCCTCATGTACCTCTAATTTAAATAAAAGACAAGATATAGCTAATTTATTTCAGTGGTGAATAAATTAGTATATCTCACATATCTCTGAATAGCACACATTTAGGGAACAAATTAGAAAGTTTACCAAACTTGGATAG